GCCCCCCGTACCTCACCTGGGGGAACTGCGATCCCCCGCGATCCCCCCCGAAATGAGCTCTGGGTATAGAAGACAGAAGTTAGAAGATTGAATGGGTAATAATTAATGAATAACCAAATGAAGATTTATTAATGGTTAGAACGTGATTTTGAGGGAGTTGTATGGTGGTTTTTTAAGCGGATAGGATATGGGAATAAGGGGGGGAAGCTTATGAAATAGAGTATAAATATATATTGTATGAAATAGTTCTACTAAATATGTACTCAATAAACTTTAAATTAAAAAAATATATATTGTGTGTGATCACAGCCAATGGTTCTCCCAGGTCTCAGACAGAGGACATTCACATCACCTATGGCTTGATCCTTACTGGAGAGGCCAGGGATTGAACATGGGACCTTCTGCATGCCAAGCAGATGCTCTTCCAGTGAGCCACAGCCCCTCCATCCCATAACAATTTCCCCCCCCCTCAGGTCGTTTTAGCTAGTGACCTATTTGCCTCCCAGATGTATCTGGCTAGGCTGTATTTACTTATTCATTTATATCCTGCTATTCTCCCCAATGGGGTCCCTCCGAGGCTTACACCATCCTCCTTGCCTCCATTTTATTCTCAAAACAAGCCTGTGAGGTAGGTTAAGCTGAGGGGGGGTGACTGGCCCAAGGTCAGCCCACAACTTTCAGTGGCAGACTGGGGGTTAAGACCTGGATCTCCCAGATCCCAGTGCAAGATTCTAACCACTGCACCACCCTGGTTATCATGTATATGAAGGACTTGCTCTCTGCACATGCTCAAAGGCTTTTCTCATTTATCACTGTTTCCTATCATATAGGACTGAAAGCCAGATTAGACAAACTAGGAGGGTTGCATGTTGTCTGCACATCTGCATTAGAAACAGTGACTGTGGGTTCCAGTCTTTGAGAGAAAATAGAGTGCACGGATGAGGAAGACCGAAACCCTGCCCTTTTTCTTTACCTTGCTATACTTGGTTGATTGAAATATCTTTCTTCATGCCACGATCACTTTTGATATCTGAGCTGGGTGGGAAGGAAGAACACTTCAAAAAGCTTTTGAAAAAGCCGGCCTATTGGTCTTCTTTTAGAAGTAGAAACATTTACTTTTTCCTTTAATTTATACCCCCACCTTTCTCCCCAAGGGAGACCCAAAGCAGCTCACACCGTTCTCCTCTCCTCCGTTTTATCCTCGCAACAACCCTGTGAGGTAGGTCAGGCTGAGGGAGTATGACTGACCCAAAGTCACTCAGCAAGTGTCCATGGCAGAGTAGGAATTCGAACCTGGGTCGCCCAGATCCTTGTCCGATGCACTAAGCACTATACCGCACTGGCTCTTAACATTGATATAAAAATTTCCTCCATCCCATCTAGTTTGGCTGTAGAAAAGAGCAAGAGTCCAGAAGCACCTTAAAGAGTAACAAAATTAGGGACAGGATAGGCGATTTCATGAGTCACTGGCTCACTTCTTCATCTCGATCTATCTAGTCTGGTGTTGAGTCTTCACTCTGAAAGCAGTTCTGGAGGAATATACGCTGTGCCCTACCTCAACCTTCAGAGACAGCACTGTAGATTTAGAGAGAGATAGAGAGGCCAGGGCACACAAAACATCCTTCCTGCTATCTGATACTATCCTTTGAAGTAGAATGCTATTCTTAGGGACCAGACTTCCTTCCAGCTTGACACTTCTCTCTCACACACAAACACAAAGAAAGAGCACATGCTTTGTCAGCATGGATGCAGAACAGGCATTCTCCATCTGCATCCATCTAGCTAGAGTCCAGTGGCCCCTCTAAGACAAACAGAGGTGCTTCTGGACTCTTGCTCTTTTCTACTGCGTCATGGTAGCTGTGGGGAATGTAAAGGCAAAACTGCTTTGTATGTTCATTGTAAAGACCCCACAGAACCAGGGTTGCCAGCAGAGTACTGACAACCCCCAGCAGATGTAGGGGGGCCACTCCACCTGTCACTACTTAGACATGCGTGGCTTAATCTTTTGAGACAAGCACCTGCTACTGGCGGGATCAACCAGGTAGCAGCGGGACAAAGTACAAACTAGGACTGCAAACCTGTTTGTTGTCTAAAGTAAAGGTAAAGGTTCCCTTGCTCGAAAGCCAGTCAAATCCGACTTTAGGGTTGCGGTGCTCATCTCCGTTTCAAAGCCGAAGAGCCAGCGCTGTCCGAAGACGTTTCCG